ACAGTACATTTTGAACTGTGTCTAGCCAACAAGAAGCTCTGCGTCTTCCGCGCTATCATCGGAATTGATGCTTGGTATGGAGTAAGTAAATATCGTCACCCGATGTACGTGACATCATCTTAGGTAGTCAATAGTAACTAAGAGGGAGAATAGAAACCAGATCCAAGTAGTAGTGGAAGCTGGATTAGTATACTATGAGGGGAAAAAGTCTCAACACCCTTGTCGACAATGGCCTGATTGACTGCGGAAATCCTTCTGATGGTTTAGACCCCTACCCCCTTGGCCTGTGGAATGTCCCGGAATGAATCCGTGGTGAGCGCGCACTTTATACTACCTTTTATGTAAAGAAGAGGGCGGGAATGTATCGGATAACTGTGCTATGAAAATGTTATTATGCCTATGCCTTGTTGATGACACTTTTTGGCTCGGTGGGCCCGGTTTCCTCGCGGTCGTTTATCGCTAATCGACTATATTCACTTTGTACTGTACTTATGTGATACTCGTAAAACATACTCCTCGGAGCAACAACACCGAACAAAACTGACAATACATGTTTAATCACCCCCCGGCATTGTGTCGAAGATGGAAGATCCAGCTGCCGAAAATTAAAGATCTATAGAGATACCATCCAACTAGACATGCCAGCATTTAGCATGATTCCTCTCTCCCACATCCAATGCAACCAAAAAGCGACTAACACCGTTGTAGGCCGCTACCGTCGCCGTAATTTCCACCACCTGCTTATGATCGAAACACTCCTTGACCTCCTGGAAGATCTCCTCCGGCACCTTGACCGTCTTGGTCATAGCGTCCGTATACTTCAGCACCACGCTTTCCTCCCTGCTGAGCGCCCTTTTCTGTGCCTCTGGACAGATTTCTGGTTGCCGAATCAGCTCTAGCGCTTCGTCACTGAATCCTCCTGCCTTCAGCAACGGAGCGTGCTGCTCCCACTCGAACAAGGCATCATTGAGGACAGCCACACGACACATGATCAGCTCACGGACAATGGTCGAGAGACTCGTCCTCGTGCGAAGGGCGCCCATGAATGAATTCCAGCCATCCGTGACTGGAAACGAGTGCATCAGTGCCAAGTCCAGAGGTAGCAGCGTTCCGGGGGCACGTCGGGCTTGCGTTTGTGCTAGGATCTCAGCTTCCTCAGCATCGCTCGTCTCCGGGGGGTTCGCAACATATGGGAGGCGCATGATGAATGTTCGGGCTATTCTGGAGGTCGGTCGATCTTCAAGGTATGTCCTCTGCACGTTGTTAACTTCTTGAGTGCCACGATCTATCTAGTGTAGGGGCCTTGTACCTGTAATTGATATCGGGATACTTGCGGCTAAACTGGCGATGACTTTCCGGGTGGAAAGGTCTGATCTGTGTAGTACAATGAATGTGCAAGTCGATGGATGCAAAAGAAGGTGGGAATCAATTTGTTTTATGCCATGCGTCCTCTTTATCTGTAATCTATCTCTGTCCGCCGGCGGGTGGCCAGAAGGGTCGCTAGGCGCCAAGGACCGCATAGTGCGCATTTTGCACTCGATCATGATCGACGGCGTGTTACTACTCTTGTGTCCCGGTAAAGAGACAACTAATCTTGGGAATGAATCGATCACGATCTGAGAACTCAATGTGTTTAAAGCATTGGTGAAAGCGACTTGGGCTGTAGGAATCACTCGGGCTACGAACACCCTAATTTGATCATTGCGGATGTCACTGAGATAGCTCGCAGTCATAGCAGGCTTTCAGCAGCAGCATGTGAGGGTTGTATATGGCCTGGTGGCTTTGTGATGAGCTTTTCTGGAAAAAGAGAATACTTAATTCCTTGTTTTAGCCTTGTTGTAAAGAAAGACAGATCAGATCCGGTGGACCATGGATTGTGAAGTCGACGAATCAACCTCGGGCACACTTCACTCATCTGTAAGGAGTTGTGTGGCCATAATATGATCTGACCGTGCCGGCGGGATCCCATTCCGCGCAATCATCGTGTGATATCATGTCTCAAGATCAAAAAAGCTTGGAGAATCCTTTGATCTCGTCATTTCGCCTTTACAAACGAGGAAGAGGAAGCTGGGCCAGGCAGCCTGCAGGTCACCTCTCCGTGAGTAATGTACATCCACTTGTCCCGAGATGTGTTGCAGAGAGACAGGAGACAAGACTAGCAGTGGCAGTCTGATGATTCCTAAAAGGAATTCAGAGTACTAAGTATATCTTAGTGGGATCGATCGATCTACAGGCGGTGTGAAGAGTGGATTTTGATCATGGCTAAAACTGAGGACTTTTCCGAAATAAACTTCGATGTGACAGAGGCCAACATTAGCATTGACTGCTTTCTGACATTGCTCCGAGAAAATCGGTAAGAAGGCTATGAAAAGATGATCAGAAGGATCTTCCTGCTCATATTGATTGGGATTGTTTGGCAAAATAAACAAACAAACACCCATACAAGAAGCATGATAACGAAAAGTGGGCGCTAGTTTGGCGCAAAGCTCAATACTCAATTCTCTCAAAGTAACAAAGTATCATTAGGCATAGTACTGCGTAGTGACTGATCTCTGCTATGCCCAAGCTCCGATGATGCTCGAGTAGATAACTTATAGTTCCCCTCCTTACTAGCCCATACAAGCCTTGGTTGTCAAAGGCGGAAGGCGGCCACGCACTTGAGCCTCTTGGCACAGGTCATCCCGTCTCCACCGCCCAAAACAACCAAGAGAGCTTCACTCCACCAACATCGATTGTTCTCCTTCTTTATCCCTCCCCATAGCACATACAGATATATCAGAACTGATTTTCTAAAGTGCGTCCGCATAGAACGTCACCATGCGTCCCAAGTCCTCAAAACCCACAAATGATGAGCTTCTAGCTCAATTTGACGATTTGACCGTGGAGTCGGCCGTCGACCAAGAACCCTCCAAGACTGCCTCCAAACCCCCCGCTACTGCGACGACGCAGTCCGAACAAGACATCTTTGCTGAGCTGGACAGCCTGACTGCTCAGCGTCCTAGCAGTGGCCCGGGTACCCCACGTGTATCGACCAACGAACCCCGTCCAGTTATCAAGTCACCCAAGCCCGCTGCGGCCGGTCGGGCTAGCGAGGAGAAACCCGTCCCGCGGAGATCGGGTGAAAGTGTGCGAGCCCCGGTCCCGGAGAACAAGAGTACCAATGTCATCAAGTCCGAGTCAGAGAAAGTCGTCGCAACAGAGGCAGCTACATCTAGTGGCGGCGGTGGCGGTGGATGGTGGGGGGGCATTTTCGCAACTGCTTCGGCCGCCATGAAGCAGGCCGAGGCCGCTGTGAAGGAGATCCAGCAGAATGAGGAAGCGCAGAAATGGGCACAGCAGGTCAAGGGAAATGTCGGCGCATTGAGAGACTTAGGTATGGTCTTCTAGAAGACTGTTTCAAATATGAACATGTATTGACTTCGGTTCCTAGGCGGCGAGCTTCGCAACATGGCCATCCCGACCTTCACATCCCTAATCCACACCATCGCTCCTCCGATCTCCTCTCATGAACGTCTGCAGATCCGTATTACTCACGACCTTTCCGGATACCCCAGCATCGACCCCCTGGTCTACGCAGTCTTCTCCCGGGTGATGGCCCAGGTAGAGGGCGGCGATCTTCTCGTCATCCAGCGCGGCCAGGAGTCAGCGCCCAAGCGCGGACTCGATATCGGCGGTCTTCAATTTTCGGGACCCGGATGGCACGATGGGCCCTGGTGGCGGACGGTCACTCCCGGCCACCCTCGTACGCTTTCGGCCATCCGCGGCTCCGTCGAAGCCACCAAGCTCGCCCGCGCAAGCGCCGAAGCTTATGCCACCGAGCTCTTTTCCACCAGGGGGGGAGTGGAGGAAGCTGCGAAACAAGCCACTCAAGATCTCAGCGAAAGCAACCCCGTCCGCAGTAGCGATATCTTCCTAGCCATCCAAGCCATCAGCCAGCCCACAGCGGCGGACCTTTTCCAGGCGGGCCCCACAACTGAAAAAGCCACCCCGCCAGGAGTCGTTGACGCTCCAGCCGAGACTGAGGACGAGGTGGTCTTTGCGCTATATCTCCACGACCCCATCCACGGCATCGCCTTCCACACACTCTCCCAGGCTGTTCCTCAGAAATGGATCGACTGGCTCGAGGCGACGGCGGCTCCCACTGACGACGCTGACAGCGAAGACGCCAACCTGCCTCAGACCGTTGTGCCCGAGGAAATCGCGGAGATTATCCAGGGCGGCGGCGTGGATCCCCGCGAATGGGCCGCGGAGTGGATCGAAGAGTCCCTTACTCTGGCCGTCGGGGTTGTCGCGCAACGCTACGTCGCCCGACGCATGGGTGTCGGCGAGAGGGCTGCGGCTAAGGGAAAGATGCGTGCTGAGCAGGCCTCGGTGGTCGAGAGCGGTGCAGGTGAGGTAGCGCGGGCGCTGTAGGCATCAGGGTAATGTCTGCCACGGTTCCCGGTGTCCATTGTTTTTTCTTCTTTCTGTTCCAACTTCCTAAGCTCCTCATGACCCATTTGATATTCCCGCAAATGATACTCCTGCCGACTGTTTGGGTTCTATTCTTCTTTCCTTGCAATATGATATTACCATCCATCTTGCGATTGCGCCGTAGCCGGCGTACCAAATTCATCCCTCCATGTAATTAGCGCAATATCCGCATGCTGAAGCAGAAGTATAACCAAGAAAGTCTGCATAATCCTTATCATGATTGAATGTTCAGACAGAAACATTTTTTCCTTCCCAAGCCCCTCCAAACAGATAATCAAAGCCATCGTATATATATCGAGTTCCTTTCCAAGATCCAGTCGAACATAATGCAGCGTAGAACCAGAAGTAAATAAACCAAAGAACCGTTGCGGGTATATCTAATTGTCGCAAAAGAAAAGAGGACGTGATAATCATCCGATCCCGTCCCATGCATGAAAGGATGTCGTTTTGTTGTTCCCCCCTCCACCTTATCCGATTATGCATATTGAGCGAATCGTGATATATACTTTTAATTTTATGCATCGTCATCATCATCATCATCATTCCAACTCCAAAGTTCCCTCCAAGCCAGGAACATGCCAGAAGTTCGCGCGAAGGGCGGTGACACTATGCGACAAGGGAAACCCCACCAGAATTAGCCCAGTAACTCTCAAGAACAAATGCAAGTTGAATCGGAGAACGAGTTGCAGCACTCGCCGCTGGCTCTTCTCTCACGATGGCGCGCCTTTGCTCGTTGCCCCAATGATGCCAAAATCCAGCTTGCTTGCTTACCTGGTACTCCCATTCAGCACGGTATGGGCATCCGTCCCCTCCTCACTGGCCTGCAGCGCTTTCTTCATGTCCAACAGCTGGGCGCCCCATTTGAAGTCCCTTTGTCTGAGTGTCGTTGCAGGCTGTTGCTGCGTCTCCGAGGCTCCGTTGACTTGTTGGGTTTGTTGCGTGGAACTGTCCGCCTCGGCGTAGAGGTACCCCCTGGCCCAGTAGTAGGGGAGGGTGCGGGTCCACAGCACGGGCCGGGACTCGACGTCGTCGCGCATGGGGACGTTGATGTTGTAGAGCTCGACGCGCTCGTCCCAGTGGGCGATCAGGTGGTTGACGACGCGCACGGCCAGGCGGGCGGCGGCCGCGATGACGAGCGCGGGCTGCTCCTCCTTGCTGCCGAAGGAGATGGCGATGCCGCGCTTGCCGCAGGTGGCGGCCTCGAGGGCGCCGCCCACCGTGCCGGACGAGAGGTTGTAGATCGTGGAGGCGTTGCGGCCGTGGTTGGGGCCGGAGATGACCAGGTCAATCGGGGGCCGGTCGGGGAAGAGGTTGAAGAGCCCGAGTTGCACGCAGCTGGCCGGCGTGCCGTTGGTGATTACCACCCATTCGTCGTTGGGGTTGCCGCTGCTGGGGGTTGCGCGGGTTGTAGTGGTTGTGCCATTGGTGGGGGGATCGGTGTCATTGTCATTGGGCCCGGGGTGGGTGTAGGTCTCGTTCCAGGTGCCGTCGTTGTGGAAGGCTTGCGGCGGGACGTAGGTGGCTTTCAGGGAGGCTTCGATGAGATGTGCCTTGCCGATCCAGGAGCGCGAGGCGGCGGGGATGGCGACGGAGACGAGGTGGCCCGCGGCTTGGAGGGCGGAGACCAGCGGCTGGATGTATGGAGACAGGCGGCGCGAGGGAGGTCCGTCGTCGTTCACAACCTGTGGGAGCGGGAAGGCAGATGGGTTTTAGTATGGGTCCTTTTTCTTGGGTAGTCGAGGTGGTGACTTTTTTTTTTATTTTTTTTTTCCTTTTTGAAGCGCAAGTAAATCATAGTTCAATTGATTGGATTGAGGAGAGAAACATGAAGCATACCAGGATATGCATGTTGAGCAAGTTGATTAGTACTGGCTTGTGTACTTGGATGGTATGAATGGTATAGGTAAAGTATAGACGGTACTAACTATACAGTAGTACTCCGTAGTATACTAGTAGTAGGTATAGCCCGAGGCAGCCCTGAGTCGACAAGTTCAGGCTAGACTCGGCTTGCTCGCTTTGGGTCGGAGGACGTCGATGAAAAGGGTTTAGTGCGGATGATAGGCGGAGTTTCGACTCATACGTAAGAACTTCTCCCCTGGAAACTCCAATTCGGTATTCGACGTCCTACTGGGCCGGATTCTCCCCAGACAAAAAAAAAAGAAAAAAAAAAAAAAAAGAAGAAGAAGAACAACGGCATCCTGCATTTATAGGGTCGATCTGAGACTGGGCAATATTCAGCCCCGGAGAGACCAATTCCGTTCTTTCACCCTTCCAGACCCCATTTTACCCCGACCGGCGAAGAGAAACCGGGGAGAATTGCAACCGCATCTCGAATCTGGTCACGGTGAAGCTCTTGATGCTGCGGGGGGGCCGATGGAATGGGCAGGTCTCGGGAGACTTGGTATTGTCGGTGTGACGAGCGCAGAACAGTCGAACTTGCAGTGGTGGGGGCTGTGTCCAGGGGGAAAATTACCATCCGAAACCAAGCATTACCAACGGGAAGCCGAGGGTCCGCCAAAAAGAGTCTGCGGTGAAGCTGGCAACACCGTCTGTAGTCGGCTTCGTGGGGAAACACATTCCGATCAGCCACGAATCGTTCGATTTCTAATGGTAAGAGAAAGGGAATTCTGGCAGAGAAACGCGGCAGTGACTTTGTGCAACCGGCTGAGGGAGTTCACACCGGCTCAATTGCACCCCAGTCTACGGTGTATGTTACCGGGTGCAGTCCCGGTGGCAGAATGAATAACCACTGGGATGGTCTTATAAGTAGACGCTGGAGTTCGCTAAAGCTTGGGGGGGGTTGTTTTATGTCCATATTCTTTGACAACCTCAGCTCAATACGCCAGAGCCCTCAAACAGCAGACGGGGACCCTAGTCGAGGAAATTGAAGGGCACCTGGGAGCAATTCAACTCAATTGTGAAGGCGCAAAGGGCAACAGCATCGACTCGGACATTCTAGTTGAGGTGCATGTCTAGGGCATGGAGCAGACCAGGCCAACAGCATTTAGGTTCATGTTACCACCAACCCACGGAGCAGCTGGATATTTACAGACATATCAGCCCCTCAACTTTGTTTGGGATCTCGCCTATGCATCACACACATGCACAGAACCATTGCCTTATGCTGTGTACGGAGTAGCTGTGTGTGGTCTTAATTACTAAGATCTAGGTCCATTGTGCCGTCATCGACGGATCGGCCGGTCTCTTATCAAGAAAATTTTCTTCTTGTTGACGGTCAATGGTAGACCCTGATGGGGCCACGATGAATTTTGCAAGGACTGTTCATTGCACAAGAGGAGAGGGGCTTCTAGAATCGCTTCCAAGCGGTCCTTGATTTGTGATTGCTCGGTCCTTATGGTATTCTTAGTAGAAACGCCGTCTGTTCCTTGCGGCGGCGGGGCTACGATGGAGCCCAGCAAGCCTCAGAGCGTAGTACCAACCACCTATCTTCTGCCCTGCCCTTACGGTCCTTACCATTCTTTGAGTCCTTGAGGTTTGAGGTCCTGAGAAGTTAAGGTAGAACCTTCAGGCGACTAGCCTCATCACGCCGCACGGAGGACATCAGCCCGTGCCGAACTTCCCATCAATACGCAGAATCATAATACGTGATGGAGTATTTCCATTTTCCACTGAATCTCTCGCGTAATCTCCATCTGTCATGTCAGGCTCGGAGTTCTCGGAGACACTATCAGATCGTATATCACATCACGCCAGGGCTAGTTAGTGGTCGGTGGTCAGAAGGTGAGATGCATGAGTCTCCATCCTCAATCCTCCTTCCTCAAGGTTGCAGGACGGGACTTGTATAATAATAGCCGACACTAGAAAGAGGATCTTCTGGCGAACGAAGAGTGGTTTCAGACACGGTTCAGAACTTCAGATGATTTGGACGATCCACGGCAGCAGCAAAAACCCCTCTCCTGCCAAGAAGCCACAACCCATTGTGTATGAGACTGACTATCCGTAACCCTTTGTAGATAAAACCCAGATATCAACATAACTACTCCGTACTCGTGTAAGTTACATGCATGCATCTCGACCTTTTGGATCACAATCACAAACTACCGGTCAACTGGGATCAGTCCCACCCAGAAATAGTTGATCTGCCCAGATTCATGGTCGAGCGCCACTGCACCAGGCAAGAAACCTGCAAGCTGACTGGTCTGTGCGAAAGGAATTGTTGCGACAAGACATCGACGTTGTAGTGAGGCCGATCGCCGCAGCAGCAAAATCTTTGGTGGGGACATTTGAGTATTTCAGTATTATTGTTCAACTCACTCACTCCGACCCAAACCAAAACCAAACCAAATTAAACCAACCAGACAGAGTCAGCCACGATCTTTCGGTTTGATTTTCCTGCTTGCGCCATCAGACCATCATCATCTTCTTCTCCTTTCTCCTTCTCCTCTCCCTCCTCTTCTTCTCATCATCATCAACTTCGACGTCCATCCCATTTCCCCTCCATCGTCCGTCCTCCGCTATCGCAAACCCAAGCCCACCCGCCTCCCCGAGTGTGCTTTTTTCCCGCGCGACTCTCCGCCGGTTCCCAACAATCTGGGAACGCGCTAGAGTTCTGGCCAGCTCTTCGAGGTCTTATTAAATCATCCCTCGCAGACCCTGTATGGACTGCGGGAGTACTGGCACCGCTGCGGGCATTGACCCCAAAATCCTCGAGACCTGGCAAACTGACAACTTTCCTATTTCTGCGTACGAGCATCCGGGCTACGAGCAACCGCAGGAGTGGGATACGAGCCAAGATTCCAGCCAGGGCGATGCCGATATCGTTGAGATAAATGGGCCTCATGGCTCCCTCTCGCGGGACCAGTCCACAGTCTCGATTATCGGACAGCTGGACGACTATCAGGGCAGTGACTACAGGTGCGGTTATCTCAGCTGTTCCCCTCTTCTGAACCCCTCCAACTGATGCGCGAGCCGCCCCCCCCCCTTGCAGTAAACAACCAGGAACCTCCACCCCCGACAAATTCAGCATAGTAGATGGCACAATCTCTGGCACTGTCAGTGCCACTATCAGCCCTAGAACGCTGCCTTCCTCCGCCGATGACAACTTCCAGCTGGATGAGTCATGGCCGCCTTACCACCACCTGTTCAACGCCATTTCGGTTGGCATTCCCGGCGAACCTGGTCTCCTTTATCCATACGCCAAGGAGCCTGTCGCCTCCACCAACACCGTCATTGTCGAAGATTCTGGAGACCTGTCTCAGGGACAAGGATTTTCAGATGTTGCCTCCGATCAGTTCGGGCCGTTCCAGCCACTGCCGCCGTCGTTTTCCTTCCCCCCACCGGAATACTGGTCTGAACAGCCCGCCGCCATTGCTGAAAACATTTCCCGCCAGAGTCCGATGTCGCTCGCAATGGGCTCGCAGTCAGCGACTAAGGGAATGCGCAGCTATCACGGGCATGTACGGTCTCTGGATTCACGCTGGCTAGATAGCTTGGAGGCTCAGTTACCAAGCAACATGACCTCCCCTGCGTCAATGACGATGCCGCAGGAGTCCCCCTACTTCAAAGAAGAACCCAAAAATCAAGACGGATTTCAGTACAAGTCGGAGAGCTCCTCAGTGTCTGGGGATTTCTCCACCATGTACGACCCTTACTCGGTCACAACGGACGGCATCCCCGCTTTTGCCGACCGACAGTTGGATGATGAATGGAAGGATGCGCGAAATGATGGTTCACCATCCGACGCAGCGCAACCCCTGCAGAACGCTACTGCTTTCATGGTCAGCGAGAACCCGGCGGAATCCTACTACGTTCCGGTCGATTCTCGGCCGAGAGCGTCCTCTGCCACTCAGCGAGCGCCTGCACGCCCACAGGCTCTATCTATGCAGTCGGTCGCTACGGTTCGAAAGCGCAAGCAGCGCAACCTTAGTGTGAACCTGGATCAGGCACAACCCAAACCACTGCAGATTGTGCAAGAGGATGGCCAGGGCGGTTCGATTGCCTCCGCTGACTTCATTTCTCCGCCTCGTGGAGCGCGCCGTAAGGGGCCTCTGTCTATGGTCGGAAGGGCAAATGCTGGCTTGCGAAGAAAGAACAAGGACACGTGTGTCCAGTGCCGATTAAACAAGCGCAAGGTTCGCATTTCACAAGAGAAACACCCTTCTGTGGTAAAATAGCTAACGCCGAAGACAGTGCGATGGGAATGCTCCCTGCGATGCGTGCCGCCCTACGCTGCATGAACAGCCTTGTGCTCGCGCCTGCTTTTCCAACATCGTTGAGTATGGTGTTTGCAATTATATCTGTACGTGCCACGGTCTAGTTGTCGATTTTGTAACCTGGCTAATCTTATCAGCTCAACGAGCGGTCAACCACCCCACCCTGGATGGCTCAAGGCGAGTGCGGATGGAGATTCCTTCCGAATTCGATCTGAATGATTTGATTTCATTCCTCGGCGAACGCCAAGGCCGGTTCAACATCCGTGCCAGCCAGTCCTGGGGATCTCTCTATACCCTGGATTTGGCGGAGACCTATCGGTTTTTGCGTGGCTTGAGCGAGTATAATGGCAACTCGAAGTCGACCTTCCTTGAATTTGTTGACCGACGACTCGTCGAGTCGAAGGACAAATCGAAGAATTGGCTCACGTGCGTGAAGGACTGTGATCCAATGGCCAACACTTATGTATGTCACTCCTACTAAGGTCCGAAGCCTTTTACTAATGTTACTCGACAGACTCTTCTCGCGAAATGGAACAACATGCCTAGCCGTGCGAGCTACAGCTTTGTTCCTCTTCAGGCGGGTGGCGCCGAGAGACCAATGAACATTGACGACGCTGAAGATAGGCGAGAAATTCTCATGGCGGCCCAGTTGTCGCGCATCATCTGCCGTATGCTTGAAGTTGAGGGATTCCGCAAACTGGAACGTGACTTCTACAACATTAAGTGGAAGCAGATCTCTCAGGATACGCACCTGCGATTCCTTAACGAACTCGGCCACATACTGCTGACTCTGCGTTGGCGCATGTCTTGGTGGAAGCAACTCGGAGATGGGGGTCGCGAACCTGACCCCAGCAAACAGCACTACGTCGATCGGGTTCATCTGCTGTGCAGGATCCTTTACGTTTACTACACCTGTGTGATGGCGAAGCTTCCTTCGTGGTCCGCCTCGGAGGTGCCCAAGGGGACGTGGTCTACGTATGCGGACTCGGAGAACCCTGTTTGGGATGATTTCCCTAGCGATCCCACTGACGACGGCTTTGCTCGCTGGGTTGAGCACGGGCAAGAGCTGATCGAGCAGTCGGGGGCTCCGATCCGGATGTCGAAGATGTGAACGGCCCTTCCACAAGGAGGCAAAAGAAGCGCCGGAGTGACTGATACTGACTGCACTTGAGATACCCTTTTGAAGCGTGTTTTGTGTTTTTTTTTTTTTTTGTTCTCGAAGACGATGATGATTGATGATTGTTGATTCGTTTGGTACCTGGTCACCTGTACATTTTTTTGGACATATGACTACTCTTCTCATACATAATTTTGTTTTATAGTTTGTTTCTGGATTTAGATCTACATCTGCATAGAATTCGGGTGTCTTCCGGTTTCACCTCACGTACCACACAGCCTTCGTAAAACAACGAAGCACCAACGAAACCCAACCAATAAAGCCAACGCAGCCCCAGCGGCCAGATCCAGATAAAAAAGGGTATCTAATTTCATTACTCGTATGTATGTATCCTATCTCCCCTCCAAAAATTGAATATGTATATCCCCTCCTCGACTCGGCTTGATCATCTTCAACCAAAAGCCACCTTCCACTCCCGGACCCAAAAAAAGCAAACCATTTTCCCGCAGATTATCATTTCTTCCCCTTGGCAGCACCCGCCTTCTTATCCTTCTTCCCACCGGCCAACAACTCCAGGTGGCCCGCCTTCTCGGCGAGATTCTTCTCCGTCTGGGCGGTCAATCCGGCCGTGAGTTTCTGTTTCGTCGGGGAGGTGTTAGTTGCGCCAGTTTTGGGACAGGGTGTAGTCTTCGTGGTCGACGTTTAAGAAGAGGGGAAGACAACGGACCTTGGTCAATTTCTGCTGCTTGATGAGCGAGGCTTTCTTGGGGGCGATCTGGCGGGGACCGCGTTTGGGGGCCAGGGCTGTGGGACTGTTTATTCGGTTGCAAGTTAGTCTTTTGTTGATGATGCATGCAGAGATGGATTTGTGAAGGGGGTTTTTGTTCTGTTGGAGGGGGAAGGGAGAAGGGGAGGGGAATGAGTCTGGGGTAGGTAGAACTGCTCTGCCAGGAGAAGAGTAGGTAAGGTGTACCGTTTCGAGGTCGAGCCGCCCGAGGGCTTGGTCTTCTTGAGGGATCCTTGGACCATTTTTCTGTTTGGTTGGTTGGGTTGGGTACACTGCCTGCAGCGATGGGGTTGAGATGGAATTTGGGGAGGGGGTTGCGAGGTGCTGTGGTTGCTGGGTTGGGATGGGGGATGGGAAAAATTGCTTATCGCTGGAGTCGATCGATCTTATCTGTCACGTGAGGGTGGGTGGTTTCTTGTTTGGTTTGGTTGGTTTGGTCGCTCCGTTGGATACATACTCGTTCTCTTGCCCATGGGTTTAGTTGGGAGTTTGGTCTCTGTTGGGTTGTACTTTGGCCATGAGTGCTGTAGACTTATTCGAGGGGGCTTTGGCGCTGCGATCGATGATGGTTTTGTCCGTGATGATCCATTTGCACATTTGGGTGGGGTGAGGACATTCCGTTAGGTTGTATATTGTTCGACACGTAGGGGAAAAGTTCCTGGGCAGCGAGTGATGCACACACGTCCTCTTTCTAGAAATCGGCACACACTACCTACCTTACCAGCTCATAGGTCTATTAAGGACTTTCAGTCACGGTAGAAGCTCTGGCGACGTTGGTCACACCAACACGATAGAGAAGCCAGCTAGTGGTTTAAGCTTCGCTGGTGATGCGCTCGTGGTGTGTACGATCAATGCCGGTAGTTGGTCGCAGGCATGGGTGGTCCAACAAATCCTCCATCAGCCTGTAAACCGTGCGAGTAGGTAGGTACCTACGCAAAAGGTGCCCTGCTCTTCCAGGCCACCAAGACCTCCCTCCACTTCCTGGCATGACGCCTAGCAGACCTAGAACAACCGGATTTTCTCTACTGTCTCCCAAGTTCCAACAACTCCAGACAGAAGTATACGTATACGCAACGACCGGAAAGTCCCGAGCCGCGATTAACCTCCCTCCAGTGGAAATTCAAGTGTGTAGTGGCATGGAATAGATTAAAAAAAGTAAAAGTGCTGAGTAGAAGTGCCTCCCGCGCCCGTTGAGACAATCGTGTTCTACTCAGTACTAGTGATCGATCCCGTCCCACACACGTGCATGTCAGCCTTGAAAGGAGACCCAAATCTCCGACCCGGCCCCGTTAGCAATTTCCAGTTTCTTAATGATGGGTATTAAGCGGATCGTGGATCATTCGAGTAAGTGTCACCCCCGAGGGGCTGATTTCATTAAGATGAAACATTAGTGGGAGATCAAATAAGTACAAAGGGCCACCAACCCAACATCCCCCCATCAACGTTGCAAGTTATTTGCTTGGGCAGAGTGACGGCAAACATACATGTAAAACATTAAAAACAGGGGGAAGGAGGGTTTTTGGTTTTTGTCTCTTGTTTTTGTTTTGGTCATCAGGTATTTTCTCCCTTGGAGGTTCATTCATGTTTGTCAAAATAAAGGGGGGGTATTAACTGAGAACTAGAATAGAAAAGAAATCATGTCGAAGAAAGGTAATTCCACATGCTCGGGGAGGCACCGGGGAAGGGGGTTTGTCTTGTACAGAAAGATAAAAACAACAAAGCTTAATACATCCGAAGTTCTTTCAAATTTGTCCTGGTCGAAGAAGTATCAAAGCAATATGAACAATCAAACTAAGCTTCGTCACAGCTGCAAATCCACATCATCGCCAAGCTCAAGCTCATGCTGGGCCAGTTTAGATGGCAAGGACGGCAACAACACCGGCAGCCAGGGCGCCCATGCCCAGGTTCATGGCGTTGCGGTCAGCAGCACCGGTGAAGATGGGAGAGACGGAGGAGGAGCTGGCAGCGGGGGTGCCGGAGGGAGCGGCGGAGCTGGAGATGACACCAGAGGGCTTGGAGGTCACGAAGCCGGTGGGCTTGATGACGGGGACGGAGGTGGCAGCGGGCTTGGTGGCATCCACCGTCTCGGCGACAGTGGAGGTGGTGGCGGCGCTGACGGCAACCTCGGTGGTGGTAGCGGCAGCAGTGGTGGTGGCAGCGGCCTCGGTGACAGCGGAGGTGGTAGCGGCGGCAGTGGAGGTGGTGGCGGAAGCGGCAGCGGACGAGGACGAGTAGTAGGGGTTGGTGATACCGAACTGGGTGGAGTACTGGTACTGGCCAGTGCCCTCGACGACGAGAAGGAGACCGTAGTGGGTGGTCTCGGGCGCCAGATCAGTGCTGGGGGTCCACGAGAAGCTGCCGGTGTTGTCGATGTCCTCGGCAATCGCGTACAGGGTCTGCATGTTGGTGCTGGGGCCGTGGAGGAGGACCAGCGAGATCTTGCCGGTGGTGGTGGGATCCCAGGTGACGCTGTAGGCCTTGCCAGCCTCGACCTGGTCGTTCAGGCCAGGAGTGTAGATGGCATTGCCAGTGGGGCTCTGGGTGTAGTCGGGCTGGGTGTAGGCCGAGGCCAGGGCAGCAAGGGCAGAGATGACGGCGAAGAAACGCATTTTGATTTGTGGTTTAGGTGTTTAGGTTGTAGAGAGGGAGAAATTCCTTCGTGAAGATTGAGTGAATCAAGGAGTGACTGGAGTGGGTGAAGACTCGAGATGGTTTGTAGTGCAAAAGAGTGACTACCGTGGGAATGGTGTGTAAAGAACGAAGGACACGAAGTGTGGGTTGAGAAGGAAGAAAGAAGGAGGGAAGGAAGAGAAGAAACATGAACGAGGGGGCGGGGGGAGGTTTAAAGATGATATGTGAAATGCGAAATTAGTGAAGGCCCCCGTCATCTCACTCCATCTCTACTACTAACGGAGTACAATAATACGGGCTTACCCCTATGGAGGGGGGCGAGAAGGAAAAGCTTCCAGGCTGCCAGACCTTCAACCTGGCCCAATCTGCGGCTCATTTGCGATGGTGGGGCAGAATGAAATTACTTTTGCGACGGATGAGTATGTTAGAACTTAGTGAGATACCCAGATGATACATACATACATAGTACATACTACGGATGACTTGCCCGGTCGAGGGTTGGGGGATGCCAGGCCAAACCCTGAAGAGCCGTGGAATGTACTACGTATGGCTGCAAGCCTCTTTAGCCACCCCGAAACCCCGTCTGGATTTCCTAGTAAGATTTAGCGATGTCACCTCAGGGTGATTTCTGTCCTCCCACTGGCTCATCCAGCGGATTAGTCTGAGAATTAGCTGTGCTAGCTCGCTTGGATCCCAGCATCGCCGCCATCGCTTGCTGCTGGACGGGGAAGTAGTTCCATCAATAGTCTATGATATTGATACCAGCACTGGGCGGGTAATTTCAATTGACGGACTGACTGACTCAACGAGAACAAGAATAGGGGATGGCCGACATCCGAGGACGGAGGCGAAGAGTGTTCTCGCCTGAATGAAGGCGAGTGTTGATGAACTAGAATCGTTAGTAGATAGAACTAATCCAGGCACCCACGGTACCAGACTGGATGGAGCCATAGATCATGGAGTCGGGGGGAAAGTCTAACAGAGTCTAAGAGTGTACAAGTGAAACACACATAACCTTATGTGCGAGCCAGCTCAGGAACAGGGATAGATCACGGCAATATTTGTGATTTGTTACTGTTATTATCTTATTATTTACATGAACAATTACGGTAGAAGAGGTAAAAGAGGCCGAAAGGCGAAAAAAAAAGAAAAAGAGAACTGGGAAGTGGCACGCGGTGGGCGGCGACAGCAGCAGCAGCAGCAATGGATTCTGCCACATGCTTCCTCCTTCCTCATTCTTTCCAATTGTCCGGATAATGTCCGGTTCTCCTCTCAGCTCTCAGCACTCAGACTCTCAGACCACCAGACTCTCTTATTTCTCGCCAGCTGAGCCTGTGATTTCATTTCATCCAAATTAGATCTTACACTGCCTTGTCTGCCAGTCAAGCCCAGGCCTCCAGGAAATGAGGCAGGCGCCACGAGGTCGGAGCGTTGCACAAATTGGATGGCGACATTGGCTCCAGGAAAAACTCCGATTTTTTGGGCGTGCAGGCAAAAACACTAAAATCCCACGCCAAGCCGATTGTGAAATCCGCCTTCGTTCAACCCCACTATCTTGACTTTTTGACCTCGAAGTTCAGCCAGGTTTGTTGACTGCTCACTGTTGGTTGACCATCAAGCCTGGTGATGATAATGCACTGTGCTCTCTCCTCTGTCCGACCGTTGATCCGCGCATTCTTCCAGGAGCTACATAGTAGGATGTTCATTCTGAAACTATCATCTGGCCGAGTGAGACTTTGTGAGAATGATGATCGCTGATCACCGGTTTCCTCCAGTGGCACATGAAGTCATCTCTCATCCCACACAACGGCCCTACCCTCGCCGCCCGCTGATTTTCAGGTTCCGTTCCTGTCGCTCATTTCTCGTTCCTGACCGGGTGGGTGGGGACCCTGTCCGAGTGGCAGCCAAACACAGCCCTGGATCCTGGACACCGCAGAAACTTTCAGCGCAATGGATGACAGACTTGCGCCCCCCGGCCAATGATCGCATCTAATGCTGATTCTACGAAAACCTCATCCGTCATCCAGCACCGTTCCTGAGGGATGGCTGGCCTTCTGCCCTCCCCATTGGGCAAGTAACACGAGGTCAACACCAGAATAAGCAACAAACTTGACCTCACGGCAATGGTTGTACGAACTAGATGCTTGATGCGTACCGCCGGGATTCTTTTCAGGGGTCCAGGTCACTCGCGGGCGGTCCGACCAAAGAACAAAATAAATACCCACGTGCCTGTGAGAGCAGAGGTCTTCCTCTCCTGCGAGTAGGTAGGGCCCTTTTATCTTACAGGCTTACAGTATAGCTAGGGTATCAGACTACTGCCTATGTCTCGGATCTGATCGCAAACTGCGACCTGACTGATAGAACTAGTTCCTTCACAGGTGGGGAAGAGCTGGCCACGGGGGCCTGAACTGGCTTAGTCGGCTATGCAGGGCCGGTTCACCGTGTCGGTTGTTTCCTAATTCAGATGACTTGTCTTACTCTCCTCCGAGCCTGGCAAGCCTTGTGGGAAAATATATGTCTATTTACGGTACTCTTTCATCACATTCTGTGACAGAAGATTGGGATACGATCGGGAGTACACCCGCGCGAAAGCGGCTGTGACACGGCAGGAACAATCAATCCCAACACAAGACCACAGTCTTACGGCACATTGCAGCCTTGGGTGCACTCGTCGCAAAATTTCAAGGGTCTGACACGCTGCCGAGCTACACCAAGGACTTAGCGCCTGAATACGGGAACTCGGTTGGAGGAATTCATATGATTAGGCTCTACCCTGTCGAACCCTGCCGTAAGTGGGTATCGTAACAAAGAAAACATCCTAGACCGTCGCTGTAATCCTGCCAGCTAGGGTCCCAATGGCTGAACTGAGAAAGCCCGTCGCCTCGACCCGATCCCTCCTTTGCGACGACGGAAAGGCCGGCCTCGACCCCGGGCTTGCAAGTTATGTGCCAATAGCCATGGATCGTTGCGCGTGGATCATGCGGTCCGATCAGACTATTCCACCCAAGTCACAGTCTTAGTTTGCAACCACTCATCATAACCACCCACACCTCCGAAACGGCCGTATCCGCTACTCTTCCAGCCGCCGTGCGGAAGGACCGGCTCGTCGTGCACCGTCAAGGAGTTGATATGAACAGCCCTGGGTCATAGCAAGAGAGGTTAGGGACAAATACTCCTGAGCAAAGATAACGATCCACTTACCCGGATTCGATCTGTTTGGCAACCCTGAGTCCTCGGAACAGGTTGCTCGTAAACACCGCAGAAGTAAGGCCGTACTCTGTGTCGTTAGCCAGGGCCACCGCATCCTCCTCGGTATCAACGACAAGTAAGGACACAGTGGGGCCGAACGACTCCGTGGCATAAAGATCCATGTTCTTGGTGACATCGCCTACAATGACCGGCCGCATGCTGTTGCTATTAGAATCGATGCCTTGGGTCTGTCCGTAAACAAGGTTGGCGCCCTTGGAAAGTGCGTCTTCCACCAGCCCCTTATTCTTCTTCACGGCAGCCGAGTTCACGAGGCCCAGCGGCGGCACATGCTTTCCGAATACCTTTTCGGACGCTTCGGCCACCAGCTGCTTGAACCGGTCGGCGACCGATCGCTGCACAACAATGCGTTCGGTGGACATGCAGATTTGACCGGACTAACTTCTCATCAGAAAACGTCACACGTAGGCCGAGTGTCAGGTAGGTAATGGTCCTTACATGCAAGAATGCTCCCATGGCGCAGCACATCGCAGCCTTCTCCAAATTGGCATCGTCCAGAACGATAGCAGATGCCTTCCCGCCCAATTCGAGAAGAACCGGCTTGACATACTTTCCGGCCGTGGAGGCAATAATCGAGCCGACGACAGTGCTGCCGGTGAAGTTGATCTTTCGCACGGCCGGGTGAGCGATGAGAGCAGTGGTCACGGCTGCGGCATCCGAAGTTTGATGGAAGACCACGTTCAGACAGCCTGCAGGAAGACCCGCCTCACGAAAGATGTCTCCAATCGCCCAGAAGCATTTCGGTGCTAATTCGGAGCCTTTCAAAATCGTCGTGTTACCAGCAGCCAGAGGCAGAGCCACTGCGCGTACTCCGAGAATATAAGGTGCATTCCTGGTTCGGGAGTTAGTTCATGATCAGATGATCGACCGACCGCTTCAGTTAAGATGGTCGTGCATAGGGAGGTGAGTACAGTACCAAGGCGCAATGCCCAGAACCACTCCGTAGGGCTGCTTGATGACCATGGCAGATTCTCCATTGACCGAAGGCACCGCACCCTCTACGGACGGGATCAATGCCGCAAAGTCCTTCAGGAACCCGACCCCAAGCATGAACGTTTTCTCCACAAACATCCGACCCGCCCCGGTTGAATCCATCTGATATCGAATCAACTCCTCCTTCCGGGAAAGCATGATATCCGCCGCCTTGTTCAGTATGTCTCTGCGGTCGGAGGGTTTTGTCTGGCTCCATGCGGGGAAAGCAGCCTTCGCGGCGGCCACAGCACGGTTGGCATCGTCGACAGAGGCGCCGGCGCAACGGTCAATGACTTCACCCGTCGTGGGGTTCTTGACGTCGAATGCGACGTCGGTAATGACCGACTCGTTGTTGACAATCAGGGGGATGATGGCCGGTAGACCATTGGTGTTGTTCTTAGCGATCATTGTGACTTGGATGATCGACTGATTGCCTAATATCTCGAAAGGAACAAGATCGATAGTTGGTGGCGACCAATGCCGAGGTGGGTGGGAGAGAGACTTCGGGAGACCCAACGGGCAGGGGTATGAGATTCAGGGCAAGGTTCGAGGGGGAGGGGGGTGCTGTGTTTATATCAATCGACTAGAGAGGGGGTGACAGAAGAGCGAGCAATGATCCAGGAGAAGAGTTGGGGCCGGCAGCGCAATTATTCGTCGGTTGCTGACGCTTGTGTTGTGTAGCTGCAGCCACCGAAGTGAGGGGATGAAAATGCCGGGAGGTTGGCCCGGGAGGGGGGGGGGGGGGGGGGGGAAGGATGGGAAAGTAGAGGGGCGATGGAGCCGAACCTTTCCAATGTATGGAACGGCTTCCCCAACTACTAACTTACTAAGAACTCGAGAAGGGAAAAGAAATGTCACTCATCCATGGGCGTTGACTTTCGGCTTGGGGGTGTGGGGGAGATATGCCGAATGCAGTCGGCCATTCATTATCTAACGTACAGCAACTACGGTACATTCACCAGGCTGTTGGTACTCATGATAAGCATGCATAGTTAGTCAGTTGGTCGGTTTGATAATTGACTGCCTTGTGGCTTCCATGAGTGCATCGAGTGTTCGACTGCATCTGATATGTACAGACTGCAGGACGTACGTGCAAAGAATGGTGCATGTACTGTATGTCTGCCTGTCCAGTAGGCCGGTCGGTTATGCTGGGTTCCGTGCCTTTTTTTTTTGTTCCCCACCGGGCAAGGGAATATTAAGGTTGACGGCCGGATGACGCTTGAGACGCCCAGTCCAAACCGTTGCCGCTTCCCCTTAAACTGTTAGTTCGAAGCTCGCTGACATTAGGTTCGGTTTCATAAATCTTATTCATGCTTACCAATCATGCTTTCTTCTGGGTTCATGCTTGGAATGATACTCTTAGGAGGACTCCGTAACGTTCCTCCGTCTGTACTCTAAGTTACTACTCATAAGTACTCTACCAAATTGCTCCATTCAACTTCTCAAAGCGTCTTAAAGGAGCAGGTTGGGGGGAGGGGAAGCCTTTCCATCGCAATCCAATGACAATCATTACTTGAGCCCCTCGCATGCCCGCTGCAACGGCGATCTTGCCCTTTGTTGGATCCCGTGACTCGTGGCGTCCCCGGGTCTTACTTAATCTAGCATGGATCATGACAGCACTTCTACGGAGTAGATACACACCCGACCTATTCAAGTACTACTTACTCTCCGGCATTTCGACAATCCAACATGCGGTCCTTGATGCTTGCCATCCCCTTATATACCGTGATCAATGTTTGCTGACTCGCTGAGCGTCCGTGAATCAGATACGATAGCGCAGGCCACGGCCCATCCCCAATCACTTGCATGTCGATCACAAACCAGGGGACAATGACATGCAGGATCTCTCCCCTTTACAACCCCCCTACCCCCAAACGAAGCCGACATGACCACCATCTATAAAGCTTGTGAATGGTAAAGGTCTGGAAACTTGTATTCGCGTGATTGACGGAAGAGGTGGCGTCATAGTGCCTAATTAGAGTCGATTATCCTTCCCCACGAGGCGCGCTTTCTGCGTTACTTCATCGAGATAGAGAGAGCAAGCATACTCTAGAAACGAACAGACAAAAAAACAAAAACCAATAAAGCCAATAAAATCAGTGTCCGGGAATATATATACCTAACGCCCGCTATGCTCCATGCCCCCTTTATATAACCTTTTCAGCACAACGATGGAATCCACACTACCGTGTGGCTCGAAAAAAAAAGAGCCCAGCCCCAGCAGTCGGGCTCCAATTTACTTCCCAGCCCAGATCTTCGTTTGGGATGAAGTTGGCGCCATGTCAGCAAAAGGGCAGGCAGGTGTATGAGTGGGAACGTTGCCACTTCGGACGCTGGAACGATCATCCTCACTCGAGGTGCCCGAACTGCTATCGCCCAGGATCTTCTTGTCCCCCAGGTAGCCTTCTTTCTCATCGACGATGATCTCCGACATCTCATCGGCATACTCCTCGCCATCTCGCATGCGCCATCTCGCCACGAGGTCGTTCTGGATCCAGATGATCTTGCTGATGGCCCGGATCAGGGCGATCTTGCGTGGTAGGGAGAGGTGCGGGTGCGACATGAGGGCTTCGGTGAAGATATCCTGGATGTAGCCCAGGCAGGCGCCCATGTGGATGTACTCGATGTTCAGCGAGTAGAGACGCTCTTGGGCCGTGTGCATCATTCTGGGGCTGGTCAGCCTTCTTCTCATTCTCTCAATTCTCACAGCATGTGACCCTGCTATGGGTTTGAAGCCTCCAGTCTCGTCCAAGGTGAACTTACCCAACTTTGTTCAAGTATCGCCAGAATTCCATCTGGGACGGGTCGGAGCAGAGCTTAGTCAAGTACCATCGCAGGAACATCTTTCGACGTTGAATCTGAGGGCTCTCCTCGGTAAAGAACTCTTCTATCGGGGTCTCGTCGGAGGTGTCTCTGGTGTGGAAGGCACGTGCGGTGATGTCGGTTTCGAGGAGTTTCTTGTAGACGATGTTGACGACAGCCGGGATCAAGGCTTTGATGTATTTGGAACCTCCCACCAGCGCTTCGACGTCGCCTTATGTCCCCACCATCAGGGTCAGCTTGGGAAGTTTCGAACGGTCAATGAGGACAAGCACTCACTTGAGTTGAAGTCCAGGAAGTCTCGAAGATAATTGATGCGCGCCTCTAGGCGGGTATACAGAGCCTTTCGTTCGACATGCTTCATCGGCCGACCAGAACCGAGCGAGTGTTCCATTTTCAAGAGGAGTTTGTTCGTCCTCAAGAGATATCAAGGTGTGGCTGATTGAGAATTGAAGGGGGCGTTCTGACAGGGGCTATATGACAGCGGCAGGCTTTTCACGAACTCCTGGGGTTGGATCGAGAGATAAATCGGGCGAGGATGGAAAGATAATAGAAGAAAATCGAAGAATAATTGGAGACCCATGAGAGGACAGCGACATCATGCGATTATATATGTCGACTGGGCGGAGGGGGGCTACAGACCGGGGGGGGGGGGGGGGGGGGAGAGAGTCAGCGATCATTGGGCATATCAAGATCCTGCACTGATTGCCAGTTCAGAAAATCCGAATTCGAACCCGACCCTCCTCCACGCGGGAACGGATCCATCATGATAATTGTGGGCACTTGATCAAGAGGAGACGAGGGGAGTTTCACTATCCCAACTAAGGACGGCGATGTATCCAGCACGGGTCGCAGGCGTGCAGCATCAGACCAGACAGGGACTGTCACCGTCCAACGGCCCTAGAGGATCCCGAGACTTGGCGATTACTTTTCGAAGCACCTCGGTGGTCTGATGCACTTACTATACTTACTTACTCCCTTTAGACCAATGGTCTAAGTTACTACCCACTGAATGCCGGCTAGCATCATATCAACATCATATCACCCTCGTACTCTTTTTCTTACAGTTGTTACTCATCGTCGCCGATCTCATTGTGCAGTCCCGACTGCTGCCGGGGCGCTGGGATGCATCCAACCAGACTTCGTATTAAGTCGCATCCTCTCCTCCACGCGTCGCCGCCTGGCTTTCGGAAGCATCCTCTTCGGCGAATGGCAATGGCGAGGAATTTCTCCACGAACATGATCGAAAGAGGAAAAAAGCAAGAAAAGGAAAATTCAAACGTTCTGGCGTGGGGCGTTCGACGTGTCCATGTTCCACGCAATGGACACAATCATCCTAACTTAACTCCCGTCCTCATCAAAATGTTTAGTGCAAGGGAAGAGCCGAATGACTATTGTCAGCTTCGTCGAATATGAATGGCGGAGAATTGAAGGGCAAAGCTATGTTGAGCTACTATTCCAAACCAGGCGACTATGTCCAGCGCCCAAAGCGGACAGAAACCATTAAAACTCCCCTTTTGGTAAACTCCTACGCAGGCTTCGCAGATTAAGGGAGCAATATTCGGATCATGGATGGTTTAGCTCTGTTTCTTCTCATCATCCTCCTCCACCGGGCCCGACGTCGTCGCCAGTCGGAGCCGATGGCCGACCGACAGAACGCAGGATCATAGCCCAAAAAGACAAAATCGAATAATCCTTGACGGCCCCCCAGTTCTTTTTGGCAGCGGTGCTGCTGGAGTTAATATCATACTACGGAGTACAGTTACATCCTTTCAGCCACAGTCGATAATAGGAAGGAGTTCTATTGTTGCTCCTCGTCGCGGCCTCGTCGCGAAAGGCATAGAGACAAGTCCAGACACTCTCGCAATTCATCTACCGAACTCAAATTGAGCTTCGTAGTTGAAGAAACTGATGGCCTATCACTGGATGCCTCGGACCTCCCCTACTCTCCAGCGATCATCAGGGGCATGGCAGAAAAAAGAAAAGCAATTCCGATACAATGTGAGCTATCATCTTCAACAAAAAGTAGGTTTTTATTTTCGTTCGGCCGAGGGCGAAAAAGATCAACGACAATAATAGGAGAACAAGCTACCTAGATCGGGGGGAAGTCCCCCATTACTAATAGGCAGAAATAGACCCGGGGAGTCAAAAAAAAACAAAAAAAAAACAAAAAAAAAAAAACAAAGAGGCAAAAGAGACGATGAAGATATTTTTTTCCCTTCTCTCGCCCGGCTGCTCTAATAGGCGAATTAGATTGAGAACCGGTTTCTCCCTACGATCAGGCCACTGCGATGTGGACGAAAACAAAACCCAAACCAAAACCATAAGGAGAAACGGCCAAATAATGACGAAGAATAAAGATTTAGTTTGTGAAGGGCAAAAAAGCAGAGTGATTAATCATCTAGCAGCATATCATCAACCCATTCATCAGTGATCAGTGGTCCCATTCCACTCACGCGACTCTCCACGTAAAGTCAGTTAAGCAGCAAGCTGAAAAAGCATACGTTAACTAACAGCTACGCTACTAGAAGCATAGCTGACGGTAGCTTAGCTTCCTGCGCAGCGCAGCGCTGCAATCCTCCGCTTCG